TAGTAGTATAAGGAAACCTATAATAAATGTTATATTTCATTAAAAAAAGCAAAGGTCCTTACTTGTTTAATAAGTGCCCTTTGTGATTAGTAATTTCTCCTCTCTTAGCCATGTTTTATGACTTTGCACAATGACCTAAAATGTGTTTTTTAAACACAGAGGTTTATATTTCAAGTGAATAAACATGGCTGCTGTAATAAAACCCAGAAAATCCTTATTTTTTTCATCGGATGACAGGAAAATACAACCAGGAAACCTGTCCCATTTGGAAGAAAACAAAGCTTGAGGTCTTTGTCCTGGCTGAAACTTTAATTTAACAAATCACTTAGTAAATTACACATTGTCTTAAATTTAGATTCTTTTAAAATGAGCACAGGGTGGGGAACCCTCCTATACTGTTGGTGGGAATGTAAATTGGTGCAACTTCTGTAGAAAGTAATATGGAGGTTCCTCAAAAAACTAAAAATAGAAATACCATTTGACGCAGTAATTCCACTCCTAGGAATTTACCCAAAGAAAACAAGATCTCAGATTCAAAAAGACATATACACACCTATGTTTATTGCTGCACTATTTACAATAGCCAAGATATGGAAGTAACCTAAGTGTCCATCAGTAGATGAATGGATAAAGATGTGGTACATATCCACAATGGAATATTATTTAGCCATAAAAAGAAATGAAATCCTACCATTTGCAACAACATGGATGGATCTAGAGGGTATTATGCTCAGTGAAACAAGCTAGGTGGAGAAAGACAAATACCGTATTTCATTCATTCATTTGTGGGGTATAAAAACAAAGCAAAACTGAAGGAACAAAATAGCAATAGACTCATAACATGAGAAGGGACTAGTGGTTAACAAAGTGGTGCGGTTGGGGATGGTGGGGAAGGGGAAGGGGATTAAAGGATACAATAATTTGCAACCACAATATAGGTAGGTCACGGGGAGAGTAGTACAGCATGGAGAATACAATTAATGACTCTATAACATCTTACTATGTTGATAGAGAGTGACTGCAATGGAGGGGATGAGGACTTGATAATATGGGTGAATGTTGAACCACTGTGTTGTGTATTTGACACCATCATTAAGATGGTACATCAATGATACTTTAATTTTAAAAAATGAGGACAGGTTACACAGGAGGGGTTTATGGCATAGAACTAGAATAACCAAAGAGCTTTTAGGTTCAAGAAGACTGTTTCCAGTTTTCCTTTGATCAGAACAGATTCTCTTCTAAAGGGACACTTTGGTTCTCTTTTCACCCTCCTTCTCGGTTGTAAGTTCCTTAAGAGGGGCTGCACATTTACAACTTTGATTGTCAACCATTCTCCCCATCCCTAGTAAAAGATGTAAGTATTTTGTTTGCCTGAACAGAGGGGACGTATTGCCACAGCTATTACAGAGTGTGTCCTGCCTTAGAGCTACTGTTTAGTGGCCTCCGTGAATCTTCTCCAGCCTTAATCCATCACCAAATGTCATTTAGGCACTTCTTGTGTGTTAGGAGCTATGGGAAAGGAATATAAATTATGAAGCAAAGAAGGTGCCCGCTGTCTGGGATTTCCCATTTCAACACAGAAGCAGGTGGCCTTCCCGGCCCTAGGGTCTTGTACACACTGGGTGTATGTTCAATAAATTTAACTTGAAGGAAGAAAAAGTAAATGATAGCAGACATCATAGAAATGCAGGATATGACTTAAATTGAATGCAGGAAGAAAATGCTATTCTTTGGATAAAAGGTAGATGATAGAAACTTTTAATTCTAGGTATTAAATAGTCACCAACAATCAGCATTTAATATTCTGAGGAGTTAGGACAGTGTGACAACCTATGTAGATTTCATGAGCACAGAAAACAGGGTTGCTAAGCTAAAAAGGCAGTTATGGGATCTGTAGGCGCAAACTGTCTAAATCAGGAGGAAGTATGTATATTCTTTGCTTTTATTGGAGGTATTGTTTTTCAAATTACAATATTGACTTAAACAGTAAGTGAGCCATGGAGGCATTTTAGAATTTATGATTTAGATCTAGAATTTAGAATTATTCAGAATTTAGAGTTAACTTTGCTTCTTTTACCCAAGGATAGTTTTTCAGACTAGACTCGGGGAGATCAATTTAATTCAAAACAATTTTCTGACAACCCAGCAACTCTGTTGAAGCCTTCGATCTAGTTTAAGTACCAAGTACTTAAGTCATACTTTTAGCATCAGAATGGCTACTTACACAATATGATAAATATTGCATTTTATCTTAAGAATTAAGATAACAATCCTGTATGTTATTGATTTACTAGTATATATAATTTATTTTAAAATGTTATGTTTTTTTCATGTACACGTACATACAAATGTTATGTTCTTTCATGTACATGCACGTAAGGGAAATATATTCCATAAAAAAACTACGGACCACACAACTTAGACCTTTAAACTGTATGGTCTAGGGAAAAAAAAAAGTGGTGGCCTCTTTTCTCAAAAGTAGAAGTGAGGTGAATGCCTGCTAGCAGTGATTAAGATTCAAATAAATAATCAGAGAACATGTAGCAATGCATCTCATGATATGGCCTACCCAGCATCTCTGCTGAGGGGAAATGAGTCCTTTTTGACCAGAACTGATTCTGCAGTTTCCCAACATGTTTCCTTTATTGCTCTTGCCTAGCGTCTGCCCAGTTTCAGGGAGAAGAAAGGCAACTTGTCCTGTGTACAAAGAAGAAAGTTCACTAGGTTTTAAAATCCAGAGGACTGTGCCTGGGATTTGGGAGTCCCTGGTGGGCCCACAGTAGTCAAAGGAGACCCAGGTTGTGAGACTTTTGCTCTAGGCACACCTAATGCCTGCAGAATAGTGTTGACCATCTTGTCCAGGTTGTCCCCTTCAATCCCATATGAACATGTGAGGTGGTGGTGTCACCAACTTGCCCAAGGTCACTGCATAAACTGGGATTTCAAGCCAGTTTCTCTTGGCTCCGTGACACACCTTGGCTGAAGATTAGAAATGGCTTTGGGATTAAGGGTTAAGGAAACAGTTAAAGTTTAGAAAATGATCCATTTGTGTTGGCCTCTTTGGGATCCCATCTTAAAGTGTATCCGCTCACACACTTATAGTGATATGTGCACCAGTTGGACTGTCTCTTCCTCCAGCATGAGTATCTTACTTTTTACTTAAAAAGCTGATGATATGGAGAGGCATGGCTTGACCCAGCTAAGAGTCTTATGAACAAACACTAAAGCCATTTGGACCACTGAGGTCCTAGTAAGTGTGGGCCTGGTGGAAACTGACCAGAACTGAAGCTAATTTAAATTTTGATCTTTAAAAAGTCCAGCTCTGTGGCAAATCTGTTAAGTGACAATGTTACAACATGGCAGTACATATTGTAAACAAATCCCCTGGCAGATTTTAAAAGCATAACAAATGTAAAGTAAATCTAAAATGTGGTTTCTCATTTGTTCGTGTTCCATTTACAGAATAGGGTTTAAGGGAAATCAGCAATAACTATTTTAAATTTGGCTTGGTGATACTAATAATAGGATCAATATTTTAAGGGTTTCACTTCAATGTTTCAACATTGCTGCAAAACAGTAAAGACTCAGATCATTAACATCTGTAGGCAAAAACTTGAGTTGTAGTTGGTCAAAAGGCCTTTTTCTTAGGATGAGGATTTTATGCTATTGTGAGCTTAGAAGTGGATAGGGTAATGAGATGCTGATGGAGCCCTGCTCAGGGCTTGGCTGAGTTTTCCAGACTGGAAATGGATTGGCCCTGAGGAACACAGCTAGCCCCAACTGGAGGTTTATGGCAGATAAAAATTAATCTGCTAAGCAAACAGATTAGAGCAGGGATCAACTCTAGGACTAAACTCCCTGCAATGAGGCATGTAAATCTCTGAAATGAAGATTCCTGGAACTTTACTTTGCATTAATAGGACAATCCCTAAGTGGGAGAACCATGCTCTGCGGCTCGTAGAAACATCCAGAGGGACAAGCCAGTGTGCAGTTGTGGTTGCCTGACAGTTCGTGTCAACTGCTCTAAACACGCCTGTGGCGCCCATCTGACCATCCTTCTCTGAGTTAGGGCCCAGTGGTCCTTAAGGTACCCCCACATCTCATCTCTAGCTCCTCCTCTTTCTTCTCATTCTCATTCTGCTCCAGCCACTGCAGGCTCCTGAAACCATCTGGCATACCCTTCCTCAGAGTCACCGGGCTCCCTGTGGCCTCTGTCTTACACTCTTTCCCCAGAAATCTTGGCTATCTTCTTTACCTCCTTCAGCTCCTGGCTGAAATGTCACCTGGCTACTTTTTAAAAATAGCAACCCTTACCTCTTTGAGCTACATAATGTGCTCAAAGCTATTAAATGGAAACTTGGATTCAAACCCACTGTCCATACCCAACCCCTGATCTCCTCAGCATTCCATGCTTCTGTCTGTGGCTCTTTTTTAAAGCTAATTAAATGTATGGCAGTGTATGCATGATTGCAGTGGCTTTTTCTCATTGTTCAAAGACTGTTCACATGCCTCTTAATTCAAAGTATAGATACACAAAGCAGAAAGGGCAGAATTGCCATGTCTGAGTTTGAGTTGAAGACTGAGGTCTGTCTCCTCAGCTTCCTTGTCCTCTTGTTAGCCTCTGGGAGGATTCCCAGAACTGCTTCCGCCATGACCAGCTTCCAGATTACCTGGGGCTCAGCCAGCCTAATGAATCTTCCCTGAAAGCTGAGCGGGCTTTTTAATGAGCCTCTGTACGGAGGTTTGCCTGGAGAGCTTTCCCTATAAACCCCATTTTGGCAGCAAACAACATTCAAGTTTTTTTGTTGTTGTTATTTTTTTCTCATTGTTATTTTTTATTAAAGTATCATTATATACAATCTTACATTGGAACATTAAAGTTTTACCAGAAACTCTAGCAATCAAGTGCAGTGATTTTGAGGACAGTTGCCAAGTCTTAGCTTTTACATTTTAATGAATACTGAGATTTCTTTTCTTTTTTAAAAATTACTTTTAAGGTATTGACTTTGCTACTCGTAAGATAGCCAAGTTGCTGAAGCCACAGAAAGTGATAGAACAAAATGGGGATTCTTTCACCATCCACACATACAGCAGCCTAAGGAACTACCTTGTTAAATTTAAAGTTGGAGAAGAATTTGATGAAGAGAACAAAGGCCTGGATAACAGAAAATGCAAGGTAAAAACTAAAGTAGTAACATAGGCTCTTAATTTTGCAAGGTTAACTTGGCATTCTACTTATTACAGTTGAAGATCCTGTCAGAGCAAACCAACATTTTCTGCCCTCCCTCACACAGAGCTTGGTCACCTGGGACAATGACAGGCTCACCTGTGTCCAGAAAGGGGAAAAGAAGAACAGAGGTTGGACCCATTGGATTGAAGGAGATGAACTCCACCTGGTATTTGCCACATTTTGTTCTTATTTTTAATGAGAGGTATGGAAACCATAACCAGTAATCCTGCCATTCCAACCCAACTGTTTTCAAGTTGGCCTGTTCCCTTCTGGTCTCTGTCAGAATATTCTGCCTTGTCATTCACAATAAAAACAGATTCCAGGTTTCCAAGTAATTCTCCTGTTGAATTCATCATGTATTAGTTGACTATATATATGAGGCAGCACACTGGCACATAATATACCAGCAGATCAAGGAACTCTCATCTTAGAACGTTTCCTTAACTTCAGTGTCCAGGAGTATTATTTCGTGGCATTTTCTGCTATTGCTTAAGTTCACATAAATACAGCTTTTTGCATCCATGGATTTATTCCTTTGGGAAAATTTAGAGGGGATCATTGTCCTCACAGGCACACACATCACTGCTTCTTGCTATTAGCAGCCTTACTCACTTCCTAAAGGGTGTATCAATTTCCTATGCCACCAGCACCTCATGAGGGCACAAGTTACAGCTCAACTTAATTAATAATTTCTGAATATAATTTAGATGGTATAAAATTGCACATCAAAGCTAAATTATGACTTTTTAAAAATTTTGTTATCATTAATCTACAACTACATGAAGAACATTATGTTTACTAGGCTCCCCCCTTCACCAAGTCCCCCACACACACCCCATTACAGTCACTGTCCATCAGCGTAGTATAAATTATGGTTTTTTAAAGGAGAATTTCTTCCTACCCATGTATTGCACTGGCTTACATTTCTTGAGCCATGATTTTTGCCCAGTTACTATGCAAAATCCTTTAGTGCATTATCTCCCTTGGTCCTGAACACAATCCTTTGAAAGGCACACTACTTTTCCCATTTATAAATGAAAAGATAGTGATTTAGAAGTTTCCCAAGGCTGCAGAGTAGAGATTCAAATCCAGGTCTGACAAGGTGTCCTTTCAACTCTATGCCTTCTTTGCCTCGATGTACATATGAAATCAAGGTGAGATCCATTAAAAAAAAAATTAGAACACCTATATTAAAGCTGGATATAGGTTATCTCTGCGGGTCTGAGTAGTCTTTGATTTACAAAGGCATTGAAGATATTTTGATTCTGGATTGGCAAATCTCACACTCTTCTGACAATAAAAACAAAGTTAAGAAGCCTGCCTCTATGGAGCTACAAAGAAAATAGAAATATGTTTCAGGATTAGATTAGTTGGCTGTAAGAAGTAATGTTCTTCAGCATATCCAGGAACTCTGCCCAAGCAGAGGAGAGAAAGAGCCTTGCTCTAAGGATACTCACAGGATAAATCTTACAGGCTGTGATAGAGTAAAAAAAATAAATATTTGGTCTTTGCACCTGGTTCCTAAAACCTTTGAATCTCCCCAGTAATAAGAGTGTCTTCTGTATGCTAACGAGATGACTGGTGGCTGGGGTCCCCTAGATAGCTTCAGGATGGGGCTGGTCCCCAGAAAGATTAAGGCCTGATTAGGTTGGAATTTTCAGCCTGGTCCCTGATCCTGGGGGAGGGGAGCAGGGCTGGAGATTGAGACAATCATCAATAGCAGACAATTTAATCAATCAGGCCTATATAATAAAAGTCTCCATAAAAACCCCTAAGTGAGGGGGTCCAGAGAACTTCTTGGTGAGAACACTGAAGTGCTGGGAGGGTGGTGCTCCTGGAGAGGGCATGAAAACTCTGCACCTCTGCCCCCTACAGTACCTTCTATGCATCTCTTCCATTTGGCTGTTCTTGAGGTGTAGCCTTTATAATAAACCTGTAAAATGTAAGTGAAGAGTGTTTCTGTGAGCTATTCTAGCAAATTACTGAACCTGAGGAGTGGGTCATGGGAATCCCCAATTTATAGCTGGTCAGTCAGAAGTACGGGTGGCTGGGGACTTGGGATTGATGTCTGAAGTAGGGGCAGTCTTGTGAGACTGAGCCCTTACCCTGTAGGTCTGCACCAGCTCTGGGTGGCTAGTGTCAGAACCGAACTGAATTGGTGAAATTGGTGGACACGCAGTTGGTGCTAGAGAGTTGGACAAGTGGGCTTGGAAAATACATCATGTATTTGGTGTTAGGAGGGTTGTGAGTTAGGGACAATACAGACCACATGCCAACCCTTCTTTCCTCTTCCTTCCTCCTTATCTCTAGGAAATGTTCTGTGAAGGCCAAGTGTGCAAACAGATGTTCCAGAGAGCCTGACCTATACCCAGCAACAGAGCCCACATGTGGCTGCAGCTTAATGCTGAATTATGAGCCAGAGCAAACAGGCGCTGAACTGTCCTGGTTTGGTGATGGGGCCCCGTGGTCGGACAGATGTCACACAGCCTGTCCCAGGAGCCATGTATTTGGATTGTGGGAACACTGCTCAGCTTCAATAAACCTGCCCAATGAGTCTGGCTTTTTCCTTCTAAATTTAGCATATCCCATCACTTTAAGAAATACCTGAAAGTCATCTAGGAAAACCATGGACACACCAAGATGTAATTCTCACCTTTGAGGTCTAGTGAGGAGAGTGGACGAAACACACTGTCTGAGCAGGTCACAAGTACAGACAGCCTTGAGAGCTCAGGAGGGGCCAACCTGACTTTGGGGGATGGGCAAGTGGTGGCAGGGGTCCGGAGTGGCGATCTTTAAGCTTAGACCTGGAGCACAGGCAAGCAGGAAGCATTCTAGGTGAAACGCTGGGGTAAGTTGGAGGGAAGTTTGCAGAACTGGAAAGACTGCCCTAGCCGGAGCATGGGTGTATGTGGGGCAGGGGGCGACAACAGAGGAGACAGAGATGACGGAGGAATCTTGAATGCCAGGTTAGAGATAATATTTTGTCCCCAAAGGAATTGGAAGATGGTGACTGCCAGGTACACTCACAGAAAGGAACCCCAGCTGCAGAAGGAAGAAAGGAGGGTAGATGGGAGAAGCAGTTTAGGAAGTCCTGCTAGAAACCTGAGGGTGAGGTGACTCGTGGAGCCCGAGTCTCAAATATGGGGAAGGGACTCAGTGCTGGGGAGAAATGGCCAGTTACTTAGAAAGCAGAATCCAAAGTCCAAGGGGGTCAGTGAGATGGGGGGATGACGATGGGAGGGGGAGGAATCACGGAAGGGGCCCTGCTTTGGGTTCAGGCAGCTGCAGGAAGGCTGAAGCCAATCAGAAAGGAGGTGTTACCAGCAGAAGAGGAAGTGGAGGTGGAGCTTTAGGTTTTGAGGAGCCTGTGCCCAGGGAGAGCCAGGCTGCCTGGAGACCGTGGCCACACGGGGCTAGAGACACATACAGGCTGTCAAGCATATAAAGTTTGCGAATGGATGGGAGTGTCCAGGACACTGTTTAAAGAGAAGAGAGAAACCTGAGTTACAAAACCTGCCAAAAAAGGGTGTCCAGAGGGCCTGGGGAAACAGGGTGGAATCAGGGAAGACAAGGAAGGGTCTCAGGATGGAGGGAGTGTTCAGTGCTCACCAACACCCAAGGTGTCAGTAGGCTGGGTGGAGGGTTTGGCCACTTGGTGAGGATGTTCAGGGGCACAACTAGTGCTGAGGCAGCATGCAAGGGGTTCTAGAAGCAGCAGAGGTGAGGGGTACCCCTGATGAGAGTGTGGCTAAGAAATGGAAGAAACAGGGCAGTGGTTTCAGGAGTCTGGGGAGGGAGCAACTCGGCAAGATGGGTGGGGTTAATGGGCTACAGTCTAGGCCGGATAAGGCAAACAGGAAAGGGCTAAGGCTCACTGGGCACTCCATGGGCTAGGCTCTAAGCTGGAATTTCATGGCAAACAGCAGAGAAAAAGTCTATGCCTGTGAGGAGCTTACAGTCTGCTGGGGATGATGGAATTCAATAGGAAATTAAAGTCTGAGTATCGGATAGAACCCTTATTTTAAGTAACAGAAAACAACTGGTTAGTTTGAGCTTAGAGGCAGTGACTTCAAAGCCAGGTGAAGTCAGAAGACAACTGTAGATCCAATTAGATATTGCAACCGCATCAAGTAGAATGAATAAGGAATTGTTTCAGGATAGAAGCAGAAGTGGATGAGCTGAGGTTGCAGCTCCACATCAGATCTGAGCATAGGTAGTGAGTAACCTGAGTGGGGGCCTGTGGGCGGTGAGGCTACCCTTTCTTGGAAATCTCCTTTTTCCTAACATAACATCATTGCTTTGAGGCAATCTGAAGCAATAGGCTCTGGTGGGAAGGCAAAGGGTTATCAGCATTTGTTAATTTATCCAAATATGAAGAACCTGCTGTCCCAAAGATTCTGCTGACTTCTGGAAGTTAGCAGTGAACAAAATGAATAGTTCCTCCCCTTGGGGACCTTCTATTCCAATGGAAGGAAATGAAAAACATAAGCTAAAAAGATGGCACATCAGAGGGAGGTAAGAGATACAAAAAAAGGGTGGGGGAGGAAAAGGGGAACAGAGAACTCAGGATGTTGGCAATGCTCTTTTAAATAAAATGGTTAAAAAGGTCTCAGGAAATTGTGACATGTAGGCAGTCTCACGGTAAGGGGACAAGCTGTGTGGTAGCTGGGAGCAGAGAACAAGGGCAAAGTCCCTGGGTGCGGATGTGTGATGAGCTGGAGGACAGCCAGGAAGCAGATGGGGCAAGGCCAAGGGCAGGAGAGAGGAGTGGCCTTTGGCCAGGGTGCTCTGAGCCATTCTGCCCGCTAAGACTGCTGCTTTGCAGCCCTGGTTTAGGGTATAGAAGCACTGGCCCTTTTTCCAATCCTTCAAGGTGCCAAGTTATGGGGCTCCCAGGTCACCGGTCACAGGAAGAGTGTCTCTTTTAGCGAAGCCATGTTCCCTTCCTCAGCTCTGCTCTGGCTGGCCCTCATCCACTCTTCTATGACTTGACTGAAAGTAGCAACTAGGAACCTGAAATAGTTCTCTGCCTTTTCTGTGCAAATGCTAGTTGAGATTAAGCAAGTAGTTAAGGAAGGGAAGTTCTCATTTATCAAATGTCAACTTGATAGATGTGAAAAGATTGACAGATTCAGAGATCCCCATTTTTCAACCCTTGATGAAAGAACGGACCTGGGCAATGATCACCACTGGCTGTCAAAAGAGTGAGATGAAGACTGAATAGGGTCTTTAAAATGAACGGGTCAGGCTGACACCACCCAAAGAAACCCAGTGATCAATCTTATCACTCAAGGTGAGGCCAGGCACTGTGCGGGATATGATGCAATAGGTGGCACCACAGGAGAATCTCTGAATCCTTCCCAGAAAAGAAAAGAAACTTATTTTAAATCACTTTTAAATAGAACTGTTGGTTCCTAAGGAATAAGGGAAGACAGAGGGACACGTTCATCCAGAATGTAGGTAATTCAATTCTAGAAGATAAGTGAGTGGTCCCATCACCCAATAATAAAACATGATAAAAAAGTAAGGAGGATTAAAAGAGGTAAAGAAGAGTCGTAAAAGCCAAATGCAATGTGGACCTTGCTTATATCCTTATTCAAATAAACGAACCATAAAATGATATATTTTAGATAATTAGGGAAATCTGAACATGGAGTGGATCTTAGATGATAATAAATTATCAGTTTTCTCCACATGTTAATGGTATTGTGTGTGTGTGTGCTTAAACTTATCTTTTAAATATACTGACATATTTACAGGTAACACTGTATATTTGGAATTTGCTTTTCAATATTTCCAGCAAAACAAAACAGAACCCACCACTCCCAAAAAAGGCAAAATGAAAATGTGTACAGATGAAACAAGGGTTTTAAAGTTTTCTGATTTGTTGGAGCTGTAAGTGGAATTGTGTCCCCCAGATTCATACACTGAAGACCTAACCAACAAGGTGACAGCTTTGAAGACTGGGCCTTTAATGAGGTGATAAGTGCGGTCATAGGTGTGGGGCTCTGATCCAACAGAATTAGTGCCCTGGAAAAGGCTCCAGAGAGGGCCCCCGCCTCCACACGGTCTCAGAGGAAAGGATATGTGGGTACAAAGCAGCTGCGTGCAGGCCAGGGAGAGAGTTCTCACCAGGATTCCGACATGGGCAGTCAAGGAGCACATTTTGGAAACCCCTGGGCCAGAGCGCTGGAGAGAACATCCACGGAGAATAATTTGCTCTCTTGATGGAGAGTAGAGATGGAGGTTCCAGGCGCCAAAGTCCTTGGCAAACGGAGGGGGACGGAACAGGAGGTCTGTAGTTGAGAATGACACAGACCTTAAAGGGAATGAGGCTTATGGAATAACGCAGGCTGACAGGAACGGGTGGCGCTGAGAACCGAAGAGGAAGCTGACCCCTATTAAGGGGAGAAAAAGGCACGCATCCCCCATGGTCAGCCTCAGGCTGGAGGAAGACCAGGAGGGTGCCCTGCTAGTTGCTACTGCTGCCCTAATAGGTCACCACAGCCTGGGCAGCTAACAGCAGAAATCAAGGTGGGAAGTTGCATCAGCGTGATGTGAACCTTCATTTTACTCCTGGATATATGTTTCTTCGGGCGTTTTTAATAAAAGCAGCTTCCTAACTAAGCCTCTTACTCTCGCTCTCCAAGGAGAAGCCTGGCAGCCCGCTTCCTCTGGGGCTGCTTAAGGCCCCGGTTAGGAAGGGCTCCGGAAGCGTGCGGCCCGGGGGAGCTCTCCGATGCCCCCGGGCTGCCCCCGGCATCCCCGGCGGCCGCGCGCTCCCTCCAGCGGGCCATGGGCTGCGTGGCCGCGGGCTACTCGCCTGAGTCACTGCGGGGGCCCCCGGAGCCGGATCGGCGAGGCAGCCGTGACGCCAGACGGAGAGAACAGGGAACCCACCCCCACCCCCCACCCCCCCGAGCACGGCTCGACCTGCCGGGAAGCGGAGGCGCCGTCTGGAAGCACAGGCGTTTCCAGGAGAGGGCGCGCGCAGCGGGGCTGGTACCGCGGGGCAGAGCGACCCGGGTGACCAGGAGCTGCGAGGACCTGGCGCGCCCCCTTCTGGACGGCCGCACCCCCTCCTCCTCGCCCAGGCGCTGGAGAGGAAGGGGAGGACCGTGTTCTTTTTCTTTTTTAGGTTTTAGATTTCAGGTTTTGTTTTGTTTTTTAAATTGTAAAAAATACATAACAAAAAAAATGTATCATTTCAACTGTTTTTAAGAGTACAGTTCATTTGCATTCCCATTTCTGTGCGGCCGCCACCACCATCCATCTGGAGAACTTTTCCACCTTACCTAACTGAAACTCTGTCCCCATTAGACAATTCCCCGTCCCGTCCTTCCCCAGCCCCTGGACACCCTTTATGTCTCTATGAATTTAACCACTCCTGAGTGGAATCACATACTTGGCCTTCCTTTGTGTCTTGGTTACTTTACAGAACTTAAATCTTCAAGGTTCAGCCATGCTGAAGCATGTGTGTCAGAATTTTCTTCCACTTAAAGGCTAAAGAGTACCCCACATTGTAAGGATATACCACATTTTGGGTATCATTCA